TTTCTCCGATCTATTTAAATAACTCGAAAATCATTTTTAGCGGCGAAAGCATTGCCTTGCCTTCTGCAATGCCGGTCCTATTCACTCCGGGTATTCAGCATCTCAGCGGTTCCCTCCGCCATGCCCCAAATGCTGCACTGCCACCATGCCGGCATCGGGGCGTCAAGCAATCCACTCGAAAGGCATGCCTCCCGCCGTCTTATGTCTGTATCTATGCGCACAAACGGGACTCAATAATAATAATTTTATTTATATACCATGCTTGATACACTACACGCGATCGCATTTGGGGCCCCAAACTGGAACAGCTTCTCGACATGGATCATGCTCCGTTCTCAGCCGTTGAGCGCCTTTCGGCATAGGGTGTGATCACCTGGCACCCCGCTTCCCGACCAAAAGATGCAACACTATTATATGGGATGTGGACGTTCTAGCAGTGATTTTTGTAGTCCGGGGCGTGCAAAATCAGCCCGCTGGCAGGTCGCCTGGCCACCCGGTCAGCACACAGCGGGTGATAGGGCCCCCCGCCGCCCCCTCCCCACATGTCATTCTGGCCGAGTGGCGTCTAAGGCGCCGCGTTCAGGTCGCAGTCCCTCTTCGGAGGGCGCAGGTTCGAATCCTGCGGATGACAGCACTTTGCTTTTTTGGCAGGGGGGATCGAAAATAGCTTTTGCCGTCTCTCAAGCCAAACCTCGAAGTTTGCCGCCAGGCTCAACGAGCGATCTCAGACGGCGTAGGATGGCGACGAGGCGACCCCTGGATTAGTCATGCTGCAAAGAAGGAAATATTGGAGTTGTTCGCGAGCTTGTCATCTTGGACTTCTCTCTCCTCTCTCTCTCTCTTCTCCCCCCCCCTCTCTCTCTCTCTCTCTCTCTCTCTCGCTCTTCACCTGATTCGCCTGTCGCACGCTCTCCCTCGATCGTTGTTCCGCACTCGAACATAGTGGTGACGACAAACCGCGCTGAAATATTTAGTCTTTTTCTATTGGAAATTCCTAATTACTTTCAAAAAAAGTCTCATTCTCTACAATACAAGTCGCAGTGAAGGGCATCCTCGCCCCAATAGCGTCTTCCTGATTAAATACTCTGTGCTCCCACTCTACTTGGCACTCTCAGCTTCTCTCTTTTCGCCTCATAGATTGCTTCAAGCTTAATCGGAATATTTTACTCCTTAATTTACCGCCCAGGACTAGTCAATAACCCTTTTATATGTTAAGGCCCTCACCTCACCCATGATGGGATAACTCCTGCCGAATTCGGTTGGAAATACGCCGGCGCGAAGTCAAATTTGGGAGCTGAAATTGTTTCTTTAAAAGATCCGGCTTTGTGTATAACCTGAAAATAATCTGCCAACGACTGTAGCGATATGGCCGGCGGTCTCCATTTTCGAGTGCTCGATCCGGAACCGTAATGGCTTTCATGGAGAAAATTGTTATTTGATCATTGAAGTCTGCTGGGGACTATCGTATATCAACCGGAGGGCGGTGCCCAACTTTGGCTGCAGGTCAATGACCTGAACATGACCTTGTGCTGAAACCCTCCGATAACCGGAAGCCCACTTCAAATCCAGCCGCTCCGGCTCATTTCTTTTCAGATAGCTAAACTCGTCGGAGATGATGGTTTCACAAGACCAGTCGACAACCTTTCGGCACACGCTGCACCAGCTTGAACTCTGGGGGGCCGACTTGGTCCGAATTGTCTCCTCGGCTAATCGAACCAAAAATTGATGAAATTTCGACAGGACAAACCGGGGAATCAGCGAATCGCGAGAATCGAGGCAGCGATCGGGTCACTTCCGTGGAGTTGATTGCTAAAAAGCTATAGCACGCTGTTATCAATTACCTGTTGTTAGCCAACGCTAGAGAGGCTTTGATATGAACATCTACAGCCGCGTCTTTATATAGCGCCAAGTCCACAACAACGGTCGAAGATGGTTCCGCACGTGGAAAACTAAAATATATCCCTCAATTTCCGAACTCACATCGCCTGGCTCTCCCCCTGCAAATAGCCCTTCAGCGAACATGACAACTCCCTGGATTGGCACCTCATTCGAAGCATTCAACCACATCTCCACTGTACCATTTGTCCGGTTGATTCGTGGTACTGTTTCAAGTTGGGTATTGGCCTGAATGCTCTCCATTTCGCTTTCCCGACATCTCTACCGCCTACCGGGGATTCGATCTCATTCTCCTTCTCCTCCTTCGACATGTTCTCCTCGTGTTCGTAGTTATCAGCTCCAATCTGAAAACACAGCCCTCTAGCAGCTTTCACCCTATGTACTCACTAGTAAGTTATGCTTTTGCTGCCCATATTCCCTCAACAGCTGCTGTGCTCTCCTCCATTGGATCACGATGTTGCGCGACCTCGAAGGTTCGCACTTGAAAAAGCTGCTTGAAAGGTTACAAGCTTCCTTACCTTTCCCATCAATGAGCGCCACTGTCATCTGGGGAGGTTCGTTTTCTCGTTCAGGGCATCTGACCGCGCCGGCAACCGCTCCGTTGACAAACTCTTTGCTCCATCACCTCGCCCGAACCTCCTGCTCGGATGTCGACCCAAAATATAAAAATGTTTTTCTTAAATATTAAACATTTTATGGATTGCTGACATCGAATACGGCCCAATACCTTCGCTATCCCAGATGCACCCTATATCCCTTCCGATGGGAACGGCAGCACAGCGGCGATGATATGCTTCGACTTGATTCGCCACATCCGGCCCTCACCCTCGTAGATTCAGGTGTACCGTTTGCGAGCCCGTAGACGAAGCGCTGTCTGAAAACCCCCATTGGCAGAAACACCGAAAACGATACCCTCCAATTGCCGAAAGCCACACGATCGCATCCGTTTCCATCAACTCGCAGCGCATCAAATCGTTTTTGAAGATCCGAATCCTCGTAGTCGGCCGAGCCAACGATTAACTGAGGATTTGGATCACCGAATGATTTTAGAGCCCTTGTACCTCCATCTGCCCATCCGCATCATAATCAACCAGACACATAGCCGTCACAGAGTCGCCGTAACAGTCAAAAAGCGTCTCTACCCGCTCTATCAAACCCCCCAAATTGCACAGTAGCCACCGCAGATGATCACCTCCTCGAAGCCGCCCATTTGGCCCACCTGGAATCGTTTAAAAATCTTGTTATTTCGCCTTATCCGGGGTTTTTTCATTTTCTGACGGACCGTATTTTCCTAATATAAATAAATTAAGCGTTTATTAACTAGTTTTTACGATCCCAAACGTCAAAAACTTACAAAAATTATCGATTTTTCGACCAAAAATGCCATTTTCGACAAAAATGTTATTAAATTTCTTCTAGGTTGTTGAGGCTAAATGGCCCCTATTAAAATACGTGATCTTAGGCTACTAGACTTTCCTGGATTCGGAAGAAAAAAATTAGTCCCCCACCGATCATGGAAAAGCACCAAAAGTTCTAGAAGGCCGAAACTCAACCCACCACTATACCAATTGATCCCATCCGGAACATCGCGCTGAAAAACAGTCGTATTTTGATGCGTATCATAATCAGAGGACCTAAAGCAATCAACCCAGTGGCCACCCGATTACTTGAGAAGCCGTCCCAATCACCAGCACGTCGTAGCCATTCCCAAATCGTGCCGTCGCGATGGTGTTGATCTTTTCCGAAAAGTTCAGCTGGCTTTCAGTGTCTAGAATAGAAATGCACCATTCAGTGAGATAAAACAACTTTTGATGATGATCTTATTCGCAGTGGTGACGGCGATAAGGGTCGACTCGCCGCCCGCTCGAGGACACCCATCACAACGCATCTTGGGACAAGATGACTGTCGAGTGAATAGCTGGAATACCGTTGTCAAGTTCATTATCAACTTTAGAGTAAGTATCTTAGGTTGCAGACCCTTCCCGAGGCACAACATGAGTAACCATGGCAACTGGCCTACACTTGGCATGGTCCACATGATTTTTGGCATCAAATACTACCAATCCGCTTTTCGTTTCTGACTTTTGATTTTTGTTTCTTTCCGATGCCATTTCAATTTTTTCAATTCTTTGAATTCCGCTTTGAAGTTTTTTATTTTGTTCTTCTTTTTGTGATGATAACTTTCATGCCCATGTTGCCTTTGAACCAAGGTTCTCGGATCTGTAAAGCCTTTTAGGCCGATTAGCTTGAGCTATTTTTCAACCTATTTTTATACCGTGTGATTCTCCAAGTTTCAGGGCAAAGCAGCGAACTTGCCCCCAGATCGCACCAAACCTCGGCGACAAAGCACGCCTATCGACGCGTACTCGCCGTGATTTTCACGTCCCGCAAGCTTTTTTTGTTCAGAATTTTTCACGTCCCGTTCAGCGTGCTTTTCGCAATCTCAAATCCACAAACATTTTCACACTATTAGGCTTCACCTTGGCCAAACTTTTCAAGAACCCACCCTACCCCCAATTTAAACAGCCGCTCTCCGTGTCCCGCCGCGAACTGGCCCCACTCTCTCTTCTCCTTTTTATTTCACAAACAGAAGGTCTTGGCGGGCAAATTCCCGTTTTTCCCCGGCTCGTTTCCTGGTTGACAGCAACCTCTGGGTCGTCCGCTTTTCGACACCCGAAAACACGAATTATTTTCAGAGCTCTGCGAGCGTCATAGACTATTTTAGCTCGTTTTCTTCAAGTTTTTCTTTGTTCTTCTAGAATGTTCTTTTTGCAGATGCCGCGTAAAGACAGCGTCTCTTCCTCGTCTGGAAGCGAAGGCGAAGAAACCATTGAAACTATCGCAAGCGACATCGTCGTCTCGAAGTATGGTGCCGCTGCCGATATCGTCAACTCCGTCCTCAAGGTTCGTTGTCGTTTTGTCACCAAGTTATGAAATTCAGGAGGTGCTTGCGAATGTGAAGGAAGGTATCGAAGTCGCAACACTGTGCGATCTCGGCGACAAACTTTTGAAAGAGAAGACCGACAAAATGTATAAGAAGGACAAAAATGTTCAAAAGGTATTTTTCACCTCTTTTCCGTAACATTTTCTGATAGGGAATCGCGATGCCAACTTGCGTTTCTGTCGACAATTGCATCTGCCACTTCTCTCCACTTCGTTCCGATCCTCCGGTTGTTCTGAAGGAAGGAAGCGTCGTCAAAGTCGATCTCGGTGCCCATATCGACGGCTACGTCGCCACCGCTGCTCATACGGTCGTTGTTGGGGCCACAAAGGTTAGCTTTCCGGCTTTGAATCGATCAAATCAATGCTCGCAGGATTCCAAGGTTTCCGGAAAGAAGGCGGATGTGATCAAGGCCGCCTACGAAGCTATGGAAATTGCCATCCGAATGCTCCGGCCTGAGACCAAGAATATGGATATTACTGCGGCTATTGACAAGGTGCGGTTTTAGACCATATGCCGTTCACGGATGGTTCATCGGCATCGGGATTTTGATAATTTTGTTTTTTAGACTGCCGCAGCCTATGGCGTCAAGCCCATCGAGAACATGGTTTCCCATTCACTGGAGCGCAACCATGTAGATGGTGAAAAGACGATTATCCAAAATCCGGGCGACAAGCAGCGCTCCGAAATGGAAAAGTGTGTGATTGACAAGCACGAGGTTTACGCCATTGACGTCCTCTTCTCAACGGGCCCAGGTATGGTTCAGAGCTCCTCCCTCAACTTGTAAATCTAGGTAAGACGCGAGACATGGACACCCGCACCACCGTCTTCAAGCGCGAGGACATTCAATACAGTTTGAAGATGAAGGCATCGCGAACTTTCTTCAACGAAGTCGTCACCAAGCACGGGCTGATGCCTTTCACGCTGCGCTCTTTCGAAGATGAGGTCAAGGCCAAGATGGGAGTCGTCGAGTGCGAAAGACACGGAATTCTCCGTCCATACCATGTAGGCATTCCGAGTGCTATTACAAACAGGATTTTAGGTGCTCTACGAGAAGGAGGAGGAAATTGTCGCGCAGTTCAAGTCGACCGTTATGGTGATGCCGAACGGACTCGTCAAGATCACTGGACTGCCCTTGGATGTTGACACGCTGGCCCCAACCTGCAAGCTCGAAGATGAGGCATTGTTGAAAGTGAGTGGTTATGGCAAGAGTATTTCCAGTTTCACTTGATGTTTGTCACTTTTACTATTATTCCATTTGCAGACGCTCAACTCTGCTCTCAAGCCCAAGAAGAAGAAGGCCCCTGCCGGAAAGAAGGAAGACGCTGCGCCCGCCGCCGAGTCCAAGTGAAGGGGACACAATCACCATCCACAACGGCCAACTCGCGCGGGTCATGTTTGGGGCTAATCTCCCTGTTGTTGAACCGTTATCTCTATTATCACGTTGTTCCTCTAATCTGCCTTTAAAATGCTCTCTGTCTCTTTTTATGAGCTGATAACTCTGTCGGTGTTAAACTATAGTCACTTGTGATCCCACTTTGCCGCTGTACCGGTTTCTGCGGGACCCCCGTTATCTCCGATTGTCATTTTCATAAAATGAAGTTATTTTATCACCGTGCGCCTTCCAACACTAAAGAAATATTTTATCAACAACATAACAAATTATAGCATCAACAAACTTACCCGGTGGAACAAAATGATCAGTTTTGGCCTCTTCCCGCACCGCGTCCTCGGCCCCTGCCTCGTCCCCTCCCCCTTCGACCGCCCCTTCCCCGTCCTCGCGCGGCGGCCGGATACTTTCTGGAGGGGTTCCACTCTTCATCATCTTTGATCTCTCCATCGGAACTTTCCGCTTCATCCTTCACAACAGCTCCTAAATCTGCTTATCAAAAGCACTGCTGGGCAAACCTTGACTGACAGCGGGCCTCGCCTTATTATCATATTTCATTCTCTTGGCATGGGACTGCAGCTTTTTTGTCGACGGATGATCGGGCGGCAGAAAGGTGCAAGGAGCCCTCCCCATCACGAGTTGCCACTAAATGTAAATTCTGGTGTACGCAAAGTTACCAACCTGGAGATAACGGTGCGGATCAATGCTTGTATATATCTCGCTGAGGTCCGACTGGTGGTGAAAATCGAAATGTATCTTGGGCACCACGCCGTTCAGGCCGAGTGTTTCCTTGACATCCGGTCCAGAATTCATATACAGTGATAATTGCCCGTTTTTCTTCGTCAACACGTAATTGCCCTCCGAGAGCGAATGCAGCTCGTCAATTAAACCTTTCATCCGAGTTGACCTCGCCGCGACCCTAAAATGTCATAAAAAATAGATTTGACGTCACATACAAGGCTTGTCGTTCGTCGGCCACATAGCCATGCGAGATCGGAAAGAGATGCTCCAGTCCTACGATTGTGTACTGGCTGAAATGATAAACATGCATAGATTTTTGCGCTGCAGATTTACCTTGGATGGATCCTAAACAAAACGTGTCGCTGGGAGGCAGTTATAAAATGCTTGAAATAATGGAAGAGCCATTCCTCGTCGCTCAGGGCCTGAATAAGATTCGTTTAATAAGCGATAGGGCGGTAAAATACCATGGCACCACACTGTGGAAAATATTCGATTTTCACATCATAGGTGATGGATTTGTCTGCCCCGTGCTCCTCATTACCGCCACCCGAGCGGACCTAAAATCAGAATCTGACAATTTCGACCTAGTTTACCAAGATCGGCATAGCTCCTTGGCCAAATCTCACACGGACATATTGCGATTCGGATACAGCCGCTTGGACGCCTTGAACTTTGGCTGCTTGGTCGAGTAGACACTCCAGAAAGTCGAAGTCGCCAACACTAAAACTTTTAACTGAAGACTCAGAACCTCACCTAGTCGAATTCTTCGGTCCTTGCGAATTATCAGCCGATGTTCCCATTGAAGTTTCAGCCTTTATCACTGGCGGCTCCTGGGCTTCTTCCATAGCGACTTCCTCCACCTCCTCTTCTTCGACACAAATTTGCAAAGCCCCGCCCGTGTCATCATCGTCGTGTACTGTGGCAGGTAGGGTGTCCGAAGGACCAGGCTCCGCCGGAGGGACCTCAAGTTCAAAAATGTACGCCAAGAAAAACGTTTGCTTACTTGTGGCGGAGCAGGCGGCGCCTCGGCTTTCTGCATCCTCTCTTGCTTCTTCTTTAGAAAACGCCGGGTTGAAGGGGCCAGATTAGAGTTCTCGATGTAGCGCACGTATTTCGCACGCACCATCCATTTATAAAACGCGCGAACCACCATCGGTTTCGTCGCATTGCCGGTCGGAATCGGCTTTCCGACGACGCAACTTCGTTGGACACCTGAAAATAGGCGGGATTGGATTAAAAACGACAGGCACAGTACCTTCTTTGCCAAATTTGTCGGACACCTGCACGGGGATAGCCCATTCTCCAGGGTATGCCGACCACTCGTCAACGCAAAGCGCAAGAACCGCCGAAGCTTCCATGACGATCGTTGTCCCGTTAGGCGACAAATGGCTTTCCAAATCCTGAAACCGCCAAGTCAAGTCTTTGGATGTGACACACGGACCTTTGCATCAAAAATCGGAGGTCTCAATGAGGGTTCCTCTTGACCATTGGATCCAAAGCGAGCCGTCAAATCCTCGCACTTGAACTGCACCTCTTGTCGCGTTTTCATGGAAGGAATCTAAAAGGAAAGTTGACAGTTGAAAAAGGAGTTAAAAACCTTGAGGTGAGACCTGCGGCACGATTTCGCGACAACTGCCTCCATAAGCGGTTTTGAATTGTTGTCGAAACCCATGGGTGCATCTGGGGGCCAGGCGAGCTGAATGCCTTTTAATAAAATAAATAAATAAAAAATACCTCGAATACCGGCTTCGTCAAAAAGTAAGATGAGCCGGTATATCGCCTTGTGAGGTCATCCAACCGCTTCATCCAGCGTGACTAAAAAATCAGCAAATTCGAATCCAACAAGCCCCATACCAAAACGAAATCCCGAGCGGCGGCCAAACACCAGAATGTCAAGTCCTGATAGCTTGCTTGCGCTTTTTGCCCAAGAGTCAACACCTCCTGTTGGAACATTTCACGTTCCGCGCTCAATTCCTTGTCCCAAGCCTAAACAATATGACTGCTCACAAGAGCGCCAAACCTTGAGCTCATTGGCATTATCTTTGTGTATAAATGCACTCTTCTCTCCCTGCAGGTTGGTCAGCGTCGCAATGTAGCTGAAACCATCATAAACGAAAAACTCCTTCAAAAGTACCGCTTCTGTTGAAGAGATTGCATCATTGACAACTGTTCCGGGCAAAAGACCTCCGCCAAAGGTGGAGCCCAGGGCATGTCCCATTTCTTGGTCTAAATATCCGCGGAATCCGTATATATTACCAAGGTACCTTTTGAGGAGATACATCCGATCCGCCAGCCTCATTGCCCTGTGAAGCCTTGGCGTGCTCCCGCTTGCTTCCATGGATTTTAGTCATCAGGTCCTTCACGACAAGCAACGCTTGATGCCTGTAATCTCGTCAATTCCGAAAATACGATTTTTACTTTTCCAATCCGAGACGAATACGAGCTTCGTTGGTCAGCACTCCCAACGGCATTTCTTTGTCACGAACAAGCTTTTCGATATATTCATGCGGTGTCATCCCCTCCGGTATACCGCGACCCCCTGAAAATTATATAAAAAGACAAATGACGTTCAGACCTGTTATTTCTTTCTTGGGACGAGCTTCCAACTTTTGAGCAATGGCGGCCAAACGCTTTGCCTCAGCTTCGCGCTCATTTTGCTCAACTAAACAGCATGTAAGGCGACGAGGGCAGGGCTTGATTACCGATCCAAGGGGGAGGTCCGTCTGGGTACAACCATTCTTGCCCTTTCCTTCGTTGACTCACCTTGAGCACTATGCAATCGGAACAGACGGCGGAACTGTGTCTAGATTACACGTATTATATTATTACGAAATGGGCTATAATGCCTAATTTTCGAAACGCGGCTTGCCTCAAAATCTCATCAATCACGTTTTCGCCGGCAGAAAGCCGGTCAGTCAGTTTTCGCAATTCAGCACATATGCCGCCGTGATCATCAGCCATCGTAGAAAGGACCACTTGATGACTATTTCACCTTCAAAAAATGAATTTTGCGAATCTTTCCTTTTCATTTGATTTTATTCCGAATCCCTCCAGTTGACGTGACCTTTTTGTGCGTTGATAGGAAAATTGAGGGAGTGTGGCCGATGGGAGGATGACAAAAGCGCCAAAGCAAAAGCGCCAACGACAAAAGCGCCCATGCAGAAGCGCCAAACGAAAAGCGCCCAATGCCAGAAAGCGCCCAATGCCAAAAAAGCGCCCAATGCCAGAAAGCGCCCAATGCCAGAAAGCGCTCTATGGGGAAAGCCAACGTATGGAGAGAGGAAACAATTACATAAGGTAGAGATAAAATAGTTGTTTTAATCGGTTTTCTGGTGTTATTATGGTAGTTTAGCGGCAGTTCGACCTACTAGGCCATAAATTACCGACTGGGTGAAGTTATTTTGGCCTCCTAGGGCATTCTTTCACTCGAATAGCTAGTTCTCTTCTAAAGCAGCTTTTCCACTATTTTTGACGTAGTTTCTTGATCTCTACATGCTCGAACCGGTCCGAATATACATTTCTAATGTGAAGAAAGGTATAAAGTCGCCGTGGAAAGCTTGTTTAGTGCCATTTTCGGATCCATTACCCGGAAATACGGCGTTTTTCTCGTCGTTCTGGCCTCCAAACACTGTTTTATAACAAGTATTTCGTGCTTGCAACAGTATTGTGACTGAAAACATCAGAAATCGTGAGAACATGAGGCAAACCCGGTAAAACTAGAGACTGAAACACGGCAATTCAAGCCAAAAAGACCCAATAAGGCCAAAACAACCCGCTCGGGGTGATAATTTGCCGTCTACAAAGCCTACCTATCGCTAAACAACGTTTAAAAGGCATACAAAGCTTGAAAAAAGCCATTTTATGTAATTGTTTCCTCTCTCCATACGTTGGCTTTCCCCATAGAGCGCTTTCTGGCATTGGGCGCTTTCCGGGCATTGGGCGCTTTTGGCATTGGGCGCTTTCTGGCATTGGGCGCTTTTCGTTTGGCGCTTCTGCATGGGCGCTTTTGTCGTTGGCGCTTTTGCTTTGGCGCTTTTGTCATCCTCCCTGGCCGATGGTTCGAAAATTGAGTGCTACATGACAAAATCACTTGCGAAATTTGTTGAATCATAATTTTCTTGTTGATAACCGCACAGGAGAAGCGAGACGCCCTTTCCTTTTATGCCATCTGTCTCTTCTCCGCCTCTGCTCTCACCACAGAAATTTTTGTTTCGCAAAACTTCCCCTCAATAACCCCCCGCCTATAAAACCAATTCTAGACTGCAAACACGATGACTGACAAGAAGGAGACGAAAATCGATGTCAAGAAGGTGACGAAGGCTGCCGTGGATGACGTCGAATTCGAGGAGTTCCCCGTGCTCGACTGGCCAGAGAAGGGCGAGGAGGAAGACGTGAACGTGTGGGAGGACAACTGGGACGACGAGACCAACGAATCCGAATTCTCCCAAAAGCTGAAGCAGGAGCTCGACAAACTGATGGCCCAGCGCAAACAAAAACAGAATGCATAATTCATTGATCTGTATTTATTTGGCTCACCCGTTTCTCGATCTGTTCTTTCTCCATTGCTGAAACGTGTCTTTTTGCGTGATCTTGAAACAAATATAAATTACAGATGGAGTCGCTGATACCGACGATCAACAAGCTCCAGGACGTTTTCTCGGCTGTAGGCTCGAGGGAGGCGGAGATTCAGCTGCCACAAATTGTGGTCGTCGGTGCACAGGTATGTTTCGAGTTACGTCGGCTTTATAATGCTCTAATTTAGAGCTCCGGAAAAAGTTCTGTGATAGAAGCAATCGTTGGCCGAGATTTTCTTCCGCGAGGTACCGGGATAGTTACAAGACGGCCGCTTCTTCTCCAGCTTTGCCATGTCCCTCTCGACGATAAGGCGAGCAGGCAGGGGCAGAAAGGTTAAGAAAACTTCCGGGTTTTTAATGCTCTTTTAGATGATTGGGCCCGCTTCGAGCACACCGGAGATCGCACATTCGAAGACTTCGAATTAGTGCGAAAAGAGATAGAGGAGGAAACCGACCGCCTTACGGGTAGCAATAAGGTATGTTGCTCATTCCCCGCTAATTGTCGTTTTTCAGGGGATATCCAACTTGCCAATTTCGCTGAAGATTTTCTCACACCGCGTGGTTAACTTGACGCTCGTGGATCTGCCGGGTATGACAAAAGTTCCCGTCGGGGATCAGCCTACGAATATTGAGGTTAGAATCCAAAAGTTTGATATAATTATTTTATTAGGAGCAAATCCGTGACATGATAATGTATTACATCACGAATCCGAACTCGATCATCTTGGCCGTGACGCCTGCAAATCAAGATTTCGCTACTTCGGAGCCGCTGAAGATGTCGCGTGACGTCGATTATGAAGGTAGCCGGCTTTTCCATGCTCTAGAAGGACAGTATTTAGGGGCAAGAACGTTGGCGGTACTGACGAAGCTTGACTTGATGGACCACGGGACGGATGCGCTCGATGTGTTGACTGGCCAGTTGGTTCACGTGAAGCTCGGCATTATTGGAGTCGTCAATCGATCTCAGGTTTGTTTAGTTCCTTAATTTAGATGAGAACAACACTCGCTTTTATTAATTCGTTCCTTCAGGCTGACATCAAAGCTAAAAAGCCAATCGAAGATGCGTTACGCGACGAAGAGTCCTTCCTCGCTCGCAAGTACCCAACCCTTGCTTCAAGACAAGGAACCCGCTACTTGGCCAAGACACTCAATCGGGTATTTTTAGCTTGTCGGCTTTATCCTCCTTTAGCTCTTGATGCACCACATCCGCGAATGCCTTCCCTCGTTGAAAAACCGCGTGGGTGTCCTGATCTCCCAGTGTCAGACATTACTCAATACGTATGGCGAGCCAGTCGAGGACAAGAATAGAATGTTGTTGCAAATTATCACCAGGTGGTGCTTATTCTCCTAGAAAATTTTCGTCTTTTCAGGTTCTCTACCGCCTACACCTCCACAATTGAAGGCACTGCCCGAAACATTGAGACCGCCGAACTGTGAGCTAACGAATGTTTTACTCATCGTTTTTTTAGTTGCGGTGGCGCCAGGATTTGCTACATCTTCCATGAGACGTTTGCGAAAACCCTGGACTCGATCGACCCACTTGGCAATCTCAACACGTTGGATATTCTAACAGCCATTCGTAACGCTACGGTAATCTAGTTTTTGTGAAAAAGTTTGATTTAAATTGATTGAATAAGATTTGATTAATAAGATTGAAATCTAGTTGTTGACTTTGATTAGGGTCCACGTCCTGCTCTTTTCGTGCCGGAGGTGTCGTTCGAGTTGCTGGTGAAGCGGCAGATTCAGCGGCTTGAGGACCCTTCCCTTCGGTAGCCTTAAAAATGTTAGTTGCAAGTATGTTTTAGATGTGTTGACCTCGTTCACGAAGAGCTGCAGAGGATCGTACAACATTGCGGGAATGAGATTCAGGTTTTTATTTCAACACCGCATGTTTTAGCCAATGAGGATGTTCTAGTCACGACCAGTAAAAATTTTTTAGCAAGAGATGGCTCGCTTCCCTCGCCTTTTCGAACGTATCAAGGATGTCGTCGCCCTCGTGTTAAAGAGCCGCCTAAAGCCTACTAATGAGCTGGCAAGCTGCTGCCATCCTATTGAATTTTATTTGATTTAGGTGGAAAACCTGGTAGCGATCGAGCTGGCCTACATCAACACGCGCCACCCTGAATTCACCGATGCCAACCTCGTCGCCTTAATCAAGGTTAGCATCCGATTCGCATGAGCTATTTGTCGTTTCCCCGGCATTGGTTTTTGCTCGTGATTGCCCAACCAGTCATTTGACGAACCTGGGAGAATTGAACGGTTGCGAAATGCAGTGATTTGAGGATGCAGACCGCTCGGCTAGTCAACGGCGGCTCCCAGAAAATGCGGAATTGCATGCGGGGATGAGAATTTACGAGAAGGAAGACTGGACTTTTGTGGATAGAGCTGCCGTGCGTGTTTGGTCTAGCGGGCACGGGGATTTATTGCACCCCTAGTTTCATTTTTGGGGAATGGAGATAAATAAATCAACCGACAGTTCTGTCCTCCTAGGCATGTGTGGAATCTCTTGTTCGATTGGTTGATGTTGGCATTGCTTTTTATCAGGGGCAGGGGGATTCCTGATGTTGGGCAATAAACATACGATTGTCTTTGTACCAAGCTTTGAATTAAAATAAATTTTGCAGGATTCGATCATCGATGATGCGGCCGGACGCGAAGCCCGAAATCGACAGCGCAACGCCGCCATCGACCGCGGAGCCAGCGCCCATGAACCACAGGTATCATTGGCATGGAATTTCTCGGATATTGCACGCCCCTTGCCTTTCGCCTCCCGATGCCTGTTTCTTGACTGTTGTTGATGCTGAATGTTTTTGACTTTGGCCTTCCTAGGCACTGCCTGAAGAACGTATCGTCCTCACCCCGCGCCCCTCCTCGTTTCTAATTAACCTTCTCAAAGCGCTTGCCAAGAAAACGACGCTGGTAATAATTTTCGGCTCTGGATAGTAAAACTATTTTGCTGAAGAATTTTGTCAAGGAATTCGAAATTATCAATATCATGCTCAAGTTATAGAAACTTTTCGCCATAAGCAGCCATATTATTTCCGTGGGAAAATCTGTTTATTTTCTGTGTGTCATGTAGACGAAATTCTCTCGAGAGTAGGTGCAAAATTTTGACAAGGCTGCCGTCCCTGCACTAACAGCATGTGCTTCCCGCTAGCCATGAATGCCTGCCCCCAAAAGATTGTTATTTCCGGTACGAACGCGCTCCGATACCGGGGGCTCAAATCGTGGACTCCCGGCTGGGCCGGGATATCCGGTGCAGCCTCGGATGACTCCAGAATCCGCATCAGCCAGCCGCCCGGATGCTCGATCCGTTCACTTCTCCAACATCGACTTTGTCTATGAGGTGTGCCTGAGGAACAGCCTCGACTGGCTTCTTGCTTTGGGTTTTGCGCACTGGCTATCAAATCTGCATGTCTTGTTTTCTCAACCCAAGAGGATTGCGTTGGCCTTTTGTCCGAATCGCTCCTTTTATCCCAGAACTCGCAATTTGCGTTGGCTTTGCTTGATTTGTCGTTAGATCAACCATGCCGAGAATACTGTCATTTTTCAGATGAACGGCCAATCGGAGCAAGCCAGACTTCCACAGCGCGGCAGTGACGACCTCCAGGTTTTATCGGTTAATACCCCTTTCGTATACATTGTGTTTAGTTGGCTAGGGACATTGTGACTACCGCCAGCCAAGCCCAGCAGCAAGCGCCACAGCGGGGCCTCTTTTCGGTGCTATTCAACAATCAGCGTCCGTCGCCGGATGAAGCTCAGCGTAAGTGTTTTCCTCATTCCGCTTCAAATCTGATTCGAAGGGATTAAAACAACTTTTTAGCTGGTACACCTCGCCGTCCGGTCAACCTTTTTGCCTGAGGTGCCCGAGAAGACGCCGGCCCGCAAGCTGACACCGAAGGAGCAGCGCGATTGCGAGATCATTGGTGAGCCCTGCTTCTTTTTTAAGCATCGATATTTTTTTAGAGCGGCTCATTAAAAGCTATTTCTTGATCGTGCGCAAGAATGTACAGGATTCGGTCCCGAAGGCCATCATGCACAACATGGTTAACTTTGTTAGGGTAGGTTTCAATAATTTTTTCTAAGCATTTGGGTCTGCTGCGCAACTGTCTCTTATTGATCCATTTAGGACAACTGTCTCTTATTATCTCTTATCTTATTGATCCATTTAGGACAATTTGCAATCCGAGTTGGTCCGCACCCTCTACGATCCGACTCGCCTTGAAGAGCTGCTCAGCGAAAACGAGTTTATGGCCCAGAAGCGCAAGGACACCTCGGTGATGCTCGAGGTTTGACATTTGCGCTTCGAACTTTATCTTATCTTTATTCTACAGTCTCTGCACAAGGCGCTGGCCATTATTGGAGAAGTGCGCGAGACGTATCTGCTCTAATCGACGACGACAAATACGACGAACATAATACGAACTCACCTCAATTTCCTTGCGCACGAGATGATTGTCCGCTAGTGCTTCCATGTCATAAGCCGCCCCCAAATACGGTTCGATCCCCCATTGATTGCCCAAACATAGCGCATTTTTCTGTATTATGAGCACAATTCGTCTCTAGTTGTAGCTATACGCCGCTGTAATTCAAGTGTTTCTTTTGCGAGTCCTAGAATCTAGTCGCTTGATCCCGGTACCTCCAGTCATAGCCACGATAAGGCATTGTTTCCATTCTTTTCAAGGTTATTTTTGGAGGCTATTTCGCAAAATACTCTGCACCCTCGGTAGCCATAAAATCTCCACTCCAGCCGTATCCGCGAGCTTCATCTCTTGTATTCGATCGATGTGATTGTGTTTGTTGTCTTCCATTTTTTTCTGCTTGTGAATGTTCCTGGCTGGCTTTGCAGTTCCCAAAGCCGCCGCCCGAATGGCTCATTTTTATTTATTCCGGACCCGTAAATGAATGCCCACAGGATATAGGACGATAAAAAGCTTATGTGCCTCCCTGCCGAAAACTCGCCTCCACAAATCCGAATAGTTTATTTCCAAAGCGAAACCGGGCTGACTGATAGGTTTACAAACATAACAAAACGGTAACTCGATGAGGATCGCGAGATCAGAAGTAGGCCGAACGATTGATCAACAAATCGGGTAAGTTATTCTCATGAACTCTGGAATGAAACGAAAATTTATGCGGGCGGCAGAAGCGTGACCATTCCAACGGTATCCACCATCGTGTATGTGAAGAGGTTCCGAAGCGGATGTTGATCCTCGGCAATTGCCTGGAAAATAAAGCTTCCAATAACTGACAATCTGAAATACCTTGATAGTTTCTTGGCCCATAATTCCGCCGACGATCGCACATACCGGCGACATCTGGGCGCCAAAGAACCTAAAGAACCACAAGGTGTGGGGGAAAATGAAAGCTTACGTCTCGAAATCGTCATCTTCATAGGTGAAGCGAGAAGCGCTCTGACCGGCAGCCTCGACTTCCCTCAACCAAGAGTCTTTGAACTGAGCCGCGTCCGTGAAGTCACCCTTACCCAATTGGGCAATGCAAGCTGAAATACGAATTTTCAGGGTAAAAACCAGACAATAAATACCTTTGATCGGGTAGTACATTTGGGGTAGATATCGCGAGACTTTGCGGATGTACTTCTTCGCTGTCCAGTCGACAGAAAATGCGTCACGCAACGGCGCGTACGAGAATTTCTAAGCCGAATAAGCCGAGTTTTACGGATGAATTCGAACCTTTTTCTCGAATCGATCCTCTTCAATGGTGGTCATCTCGTCGTCGATTTTATTCCCGTCATCGCCCTCCAAATCGTCATACGGGATGTTTTTGATTTGTCTGAAAAGGCATTTAAACAGGTGAAAGTAGAGGGTTTTATGGAATTAAATAAATATATATTAAATATATTTTATAAAAACCCACACAAGAAAATCGTGGCCATTGAAGTCGAAAAACGAATAGCCAGCCCCGCCGAACACAGCGCCACACATGAATCTGACACCGAGGTCACGGCATTCCTCATCAACACGGCAGCTCTCTTCGAAGCCCTGGTCGCACAAGATGACCAGGCTGTACTGCTTCCATGTCTCTTTGCCTATACAACGATCTTTATAAATCGTTAGCGATGCGCCAAACCGTGCTGCTGCACTCCCTCGGGGATCGCATTCAGCTTCACCATTGGGTTCAGCGCCGACGCACGTTCCGCACTGGCCATGGCTCGCTAAACACAGATAAACCAAGGCCTTCAAAAAATTACGTTTTGTCCGGCGTAGTCAGCATCCGGCAGCAAGAAGTTGGCCTTCTTGTCATCGGCGGTGGCCTTAAAAATATTACCGAAAGATGATGCCGATCACCTTTTTGTCGTCCATGATCGTCAAGGCGTTCAGACCTGCGAGCATCAAATTTTTGACAATCTCGGCGCCGAGCCCAGAAAGGCCGATGACCAGCACGGAAGCATTTCGCAGCCTGAAAAACAAAGGGTAAGAGGCAGAACGGAAAACCAACTTATTCTGCGCCTCCATACCCCAGAGTCGAATCTGACGATCGTAGATCTCACGCTCTTGGGCGCTGATTTCTTCATGAAGTCTAAAAATAGCCAGCTGCTCAGAAGTAAAAATTTAGTTATTTATATTTAGTTATCGCTTTGCGCAAGAGATATCGGCAAATGGAAACAAACCGTTCTTTCTCCTCCTCCCGTCGATTAGAAGAGCCGCCCAATTCCGAAACCATTTTCTGAACCGGCCGATAGCCACTTAAAAAACCACGCACTACGATTTGATATGACGAGGAAATCTACCTCATAAGTCTGTACTTTTCAAGAATTAGTTGCGAGTTTTCATATTTATCATTAAACATACATGGAGATCAGAGGCACAACATAAGCTTAGATGCGAAGAGTCGAAAATTTACGGAATTCAGTTTTCGTTTTCCGTGTCGTCACCAAACTCGGTCCCAATTTCGTCATACGTCTTCTTCAGAAGTGCCGAGTCTTGTTGGGCCCCCGCCTGCTCTGCATCGCGCAGAAGCCGATTGATGTGTTCCAGATCTTCTTCCTTCAATGCAATCTAAAAATATAAAATACGTACTGGCGTCATCAACGAACCCTTTGGTCGAGCTGGTCTACGAATTCTTTGGAGGCGGCGATTTCGTTTTCTAGGCGTTTCGATGTGGTTTCCAGCCGACGCTCCTAAACAAGAGAGTCGAATACAGAAAGAAGTTGCATACCTCCTCGGCCTGCGAAACCTTAAAATTGATGAGGCACCGCTTTAGGTCTTCTTGACGCACGCTGATTTCCGGGCTAAGAAAAATTTACACGAACAAAAACGACGAACTCTTCCTCGGTCCGCGGCACCTTGAAGTTTGATATCGAGGCGACGGCCCGGTCCACCGATTCGATCGAAAACGGCATAACTGAAAAAGGTGAGATCGAGGAATAGGATATAGCTCAAAAAATAAAAAAAGGTCTGGGGAATAACTTTGGGACCATGACATTTCCGCCAGCGACATTTCCGCCAATTTGAGGCCAAAAACACACAAAACTTTCCAAATTAAAGATTTTCTTTGTGTTTTTGGCATTAATAAATTCAATCAACGTAAGTACATGCTAGTAGAGAAGAAATTACGGCGCTATTTCGGAATAGGGGACCCACTTTGATTGTACGAAAACCGGGGTTTGTGCGATGTTTTCTTGGATAGTTTTGTGCGCTGGTTCCGAAAAAACACCATACTAACTTTAAAACCTAACATTTTCACACAAAAAAATTTATTTCAGTTTAACCAGGGTTGAAAAGCCGCTACGCGGCTTTTCACCCCTGGCCTTCGCGCGGGGATCATAAGACGTTGGGCACTTTGCATAATTCTAGCGAATTAGTGCCAACCTCTCAACCTTAACAATCACAAAAGCGACCGACTCGGAGCGTGACAAAATCCAAAATGAGCCTCCTAGGGCCTCGTATGCAAATGAGGGCATTTCCATATGTTTTTAAAACACTAAAGTAAAGTATAAATCGTCATTTTCTTAAAAATCTGATAAGCGTGCAGTAATCTACGCCCTCGAATACCCCTAAATACCTTTTGACTGAGCCCAGGGTTGGCCACGAAAGGACCCGGACCCCGGACCCGGACCCCAATTTTGACCCGGGGTCTTGACCCGGACCCGGACCCCCGGAATGGGGGTCCGGGTCCGGGTCGGGGTCCCGGTCCGGATCTTTAGAGAGTGAGCCGGACCCCCCAGTTTATTCTGCACCGGAAATACAAGAATGGCTCAAAATGCAAATTTTTCTATGCTATACTTGAAAAGTACTCCCTTTACGATGGTTAAATGATAGTCGAGGGTCGAATGGTGTCTAGCTCGATCAATTTACTATCGAACTGAATTGTAGAACGTATTAAAGAGTTAATAACTGAATATGAAGTATTGATCTTCAGCAAAACTTATAGATATCTCCAAACTTCAATATAGTATTTGAATAATTTACATTTTACATTTACTTCCGAAGAATCGCTCGGGGGTCCGGGTCATTTTCAAAAGACCCGGACCCGGACCCGGACCCGACCCGGACCCCCGAAATGGGGGGTCCGGGTCGGGTCCGGGTCCGGTCGGGGTCCGGGTCTGACCCGGGTCCCGAAATGGCCATCCCTGACTGAGCCTGAATAACCTTCCCCCTTCGCGTTATCTTGGTAACCCGGTTTTTTCAAGTCATTTATGCAAAGTGTCCACAGACACACACACAGACACTACTTTTTTATATATAGTAGGATGGGCTTCTAGGGAACCTAGCGGCGCAGGCCCGACTTTTGGCTACAATACACTCCTAGCTCCGTTTTTCAAGCTCAAAACGTATGCATAAATGATGCTAAATGCTAGTAAGCCCGATCTTGGATTCATTGAGACCAAGCCTAGGCCAGCCAGGTGAATCTGACTGAAGTCAAGCTCAAGCCGAAAAATATAATAACCCAAGCGGGTTACCTCACAATTGTGCTGGCTAAGCCAAGACCGCCCGCTGTCCTATAAACATCTTATAAAGATAAAATATTTTATACAAATGTGCGTTTTTACGGGCTAGGATACCGTTTTTCAGAACAAGCCCACAAAATTACACCAGAAAAAGTGGTTTTTAGAGTAATCAAAGTGGGTCCCCTATTCCGAAATAGCGCCGAAATTACTATGCGGGAGGGTTGTTTTGGGCATCATATCGCGTGTTTTACCTTTTCAGGCGCAAAATCCAATTTTGAAGAAAAAGCCATCATACGTTTGTTATTTCTTCTGTAATAGCTAGATCCGGGCGAGCAAAAAATAGTTAGGATTGTTACACGCATGAAACAGCGCATTTTACAAGCATTTTGGCCGTTGGCGGAATTGTCGTTGGCGGAAATGTCATGTTCCCATAACTTTACGTATATTTTTTGAATGGATCTTTTGCGTCTCTCGGCGAAACGGTTACGAAAGGGAAAGGAACGGAACGGCCGGAGCATCGCGTCGGCTTGCAAGCGACCGATGGTTCTTTTTTGGAAGAAATGAAGTCAGATAATTTAAAATACTATGAAATGTGGGATTTTTTGTTTCTTTCCTGAGCTACAGCACGCGTGGTCCCTTCACGGGGGCGTACGCATACGCACAGGTGACACTGGCTGCACTGGTCAGGGAAAAGCTTATGGAAGTCCCTAACGCAATATTCAATCACCGAAAGTTACATAAAAGTATAATAAATTACCTAATCCAAATTAGCAATATGAACAAAAACACGAGATTCGGGGCAACAACTACTTTTTTCGACATAAATACATGTTGTTGCCTATTTCTGGTCATTATAGTTCATTTTTTGCCATTTCTCGTGTTTCTCGGTGGAATCTGGAAAAGCATAGTCAAATTAGCGGGATTATATCGATAGAAGAAGATAAAGCGACTATATATCCAGTCTTCAGGTTATTTTTCATGATTCGGGTATATAAGGTAAACAGCATAAAGGGAGAGACAAGATCACGAAACAATTTTTATTACATGAACGTTAAGAGACCGCTTGTGCGCGGGGCTTATTCGGTCGATGACAAATGGCTTGATGCGGCAGCAGCGATCTGTGTTCAGGCCTTCGTTCCCTCGTCCTCGGTCTGCGTCCTCGTCGGATCGCCCTCGTTCGGCATGGCGGGGATGAACATTCGGGGGCTGAACGTGCATAAAATATCCCGCTAACAAATAATTCGTACTTGGCAGCCGGCTTTTCGGGCTTCTCCTTGGACTGCTCGATGGGGTGGCTCTTGCTCTTCTCACTGAAATGCTTGGGTAGGGGGTAGAAATTGGGCGCAATACTCGAGCAGCTTGTTCATCTCCTGCTCGGCGGCGGCGCGCTGTTCGTTCGACTATAAGATGTGGGGGATAGGCGCTGAGAAAGGAGGGAGATACCTTGCTGAGGACGGGTGTGCCCGGAGCACCAGCAGTAGACGGGCTCTGCGCTGATGGCATGCCCTTTTTCGCGGTGGATTTCAGACCCGCTTCAGTAGAGGCTAGGCCCCCGGCCTAAAAATGGCAAATTACAATGGTAAGACCTCAAAAGAGGAGAGAAGAGCAACTGCGTCGGTTTGCGAAAAATAGCTATTTTCCATACAAAACAATTTTCTTGTTCCAAGTAGTGGTTCATAACATTAAACAGACCTTTCCCGCCTTTCCCGCCTTTCCCGACTTCCTCTTCTTCTTCTTCTTCTTCTTCAAGACGAGAACGAGTACGACGGCCAAGACGGGGAACAAGCACCACAACGCTAAGCTGGCCAAGAAAACTGCAAAACGGCCATAAATCATGGAAATCGCCTGGTAAACCCACGGGTATTCATATTGTGACGGAATATAGTTGGCGCTCCTTTTACAACAAGTAGAAATAAAAGCCGGGCGAACTTTTTTCTTTTATACTTGGTAAAAACGCATGTAAAGTGGCATGCAATTCATGGGATTCTAATGTTTTGAAATGGTTTCTTCCGGAGTTTGTAGACTGGCTTATAACCGTTATGCAAATTTCTTGGAGCACAGGAGGAATTTAGATCTGCTAATTCGGAAATTTCGTATTTTCACGTCTTGGGTATCGGTTTATGAATTTGCGGTGTTTTCGCGTGTAGAGATAGCGAACGCGTTTTCAAACTTATTTTTATTATCCCTAAAGGTAAAACTTTACAAATTATATTAAAAATATCCATTTTTCTACCAAAAATGGCCGACCTTCGACAAAAAATTTAAAAATGTCGAAGTTTCTTTGTATAGTTTTTCCACTTGAAAAATAATTACTGTTTAGTAAAGACACTATTAAAACGTTTACGAATAGATTACTAGGAATTTCGGGACTACTAGGAAAAATTACGATAATGCCCCCCGATACTGCGAAAGAACCTGGGTTTTTGGCATTTAGTAAAGCTCGAGCCCAGGGAGCCCAGGGAGCCCAAGACGGTTTTGCAGTATAACTTTATAAAAGTCGTAATTCTTATTAAATCTTGTAGTAATGCACTACTACTAGTATAATACTCCAAAATTAATGTCAATTATACTTTAATATACCTCCGGAAGCTCCCTGGGCTCTTTCGGCCCCCAGCTCCCTGGGCTCCTTGGGCTTGAGCTTTACAAACTGCCTGGGTTGTTGATTAGCCCCAAATTTGCAAAATTGAGGTATTTTCGTAATTTAAAAAAATGCTCTCACACTCTATTGTTTAGCGCGCTCACCCCAAAAGAGGATTCAGAGAAATATCCGGTGTTGTGCGTCTATTTGTGTTCTATATGTATACGTCGACTTCGCTTTATACTTTAATACTTTATCATTTCTATTTTCACGCCAGCAACACAGCACAAAATCGTAGCAATCAAAAAAATAATGGTATTTGGAGCAACGGGGGGAATAAATACAAGGCAGCCGCGGCGGGGGATTATTGCTGCACAGTTTAAGACATTAAAAATATAAATTCGGGACTATTCTACACACAATTACCGGTTTTGCGGCGACCATAAAATAGCACTGACTATTGGCGGGAGGGGTGAAACTGCAGATACCCCTCGGCGGGCTCCCAACTATTGTATCACGACTTTCCCCTGGGGCTACAGGCCTGTAAAGTATCCCAAAATGTTCGTCTTGCTTTGCCGAGTATTTTGGTATACTTTACATCGCTGCAGGCCAAAGAACAGCCGAGATACAGTAGGTGGAGGCGGCTATGGGGTATCCGCAGTTTATCGCGGTCGATGTTTTTAAAGAAATGCAGGATTCGGTGAAATATTTTTGGCTTTGAAATACGTAATATTGGCACAGGCTGTTGGCATATCACAGTATTTGGTGGGGGAGCACGCTGGGAAGCAGATTTCGGGGCAAACGAGCAGAGCACGGCATTCCACGGAGGCACGGATAGGACCCCCCGGGGCCGCGGCGCAATCGGTTAGCGCCGATCCCAAATCTCAAACAGAGGGTCCGGGTTCGACCCCCGGGACCAACGTGCAACCGCTATTTCTCCCCAAAACCTTTGCCAAGCTTTTGCGTTTTGCTTAAAAACTGTGCTCCAGCCATTGAAAACTGCTAAAACAATAAGGATCTGGAAAAATTAACCCGATCAAAAAAGAGACGGTTGATCCACTGGCGTCCATTTTCGCAAAACAGTCACTTGGAGCCATTTTAAGCGTCGATTTCACGCACTGGGGGGTAATCGACCTTGATTTTACCAAATCTAGGCTCAGATTTCAGCGACAATCCTTGGTTTCTGCGCTATTTAAATCCGCACAAAATCCTGAACTGAACTTCAAAAGACCATCACAAAAAAGTACCAGAATAGATTTTCGATAGTTAGGTCTCAAAATCTGCGCCTTGGCGTCTAGAATATTTAAATCTAATTGAGTTTCTAATTTTTCTATTACATTTCGAGAAAAATCCAGTTTTGTCCAAAAGTTTGTTCATTTTCGAACAAAAACGTAGCGAGCGCGCTGTCCCCTTGTGCAAGGGAGCCTGCCGTAGCCCAAAAGCTATCCGTGCCTGCCTGTTAAAGCCTGGAATGGCGTGAGAGAATCTTGGCAGTCAGATCAGAGTTACGGGGAGATTTCGAGAACGTCGTGATTGCAGGGATTTGGTGCGTTCAGAGGAGTGGAACGTAGACGACGTCGGGCTCCTCGTTACACGCTTATGCTCTGCTCTCATTTCATTGCGAGCGGTAGCACAAAACTCGGCTTTAACCCCGAATGATAAGCTTTAAAAACTCAAGAAAGATTTTGAAAACTATCTGGAGTAAGACGAAGAGGAATTATAGTGGAAAACGGGTGGTTGTGGGGAGATTGGGGATGAGACGGGGGGTAGAAGAACTTGTTCGAGGAGAAGAACGGCGTCGGGTCGCCCCATGACTCGAAGGGTTTGTAGAAGATCATGAACAGCCCTCAGCGAGTCGATCTCGACGGCTTCCCACAGGCTGAGAAGAAGGCAAGTGGGAGATTGGCCGGGTCTTGTCGCAAAGTACTGAAAGTATGGTTTATGTTTTTGGGTTATAGATTACCTGGAGGTATTTGTCGAGTTTCAGCTTTGCGGCTAGTCCTCGCCAGTCCCTGGCCGGGTCGGTGGGTGGATCGAGTAGAAGAGCAAGAGCCTCTTTCACCTCTCCCGGCAATTGGAAATTGACGTCGACCACCTAATATTTGGCAAATATTTCGAAATATTTATTCACGGTACCTTTCATCATTTAATAATAGTTTTACATTGATTATAATATGCTTTTCCAAAAATTCCCACCTTATCGGTTTCATCAAGCAATGCTGGTCGAGCCGGATTCTCCAGCTGTACATTCAAGACATGCCGCTCGGCGTTGTTCGACTTTTGGTAGACGACCAGACGGCCTGGAATTTTGTTGATTTGGGCTGAAGCTTTATCTGGAACTTACAGCTGAAGTCCTCGGGTCGTCTTCGGTCGCGGTTTTCGATAGGGATGCTGCAGTGCAAGCCGTTTTGGGCGCACCATTGATGGTGGCTGGCCGGGATTTCCTGGAATAGAGAAAACGATTAGTCGAGGAGCTTGGAAAACGAAGTCAAACCTAAGCCTAAGCCTAAGCCTAAGCATTAGTCTTAGCCTAAGCTGATGCAAAAATGCGCTTCGAAACCCAAAAACAACTTACAACAACGGGCGATCCCTTTTGCGAGAATCCGGCCCCAATTTCCTCAACGCAGAAGCATAGAGGACCGGCTGGTTGCAAAATGAAGTGGCCGGAAACGGCCAGCGGAGCAGCTCCCGCTTCCTGACGTCCAACCGCTTCCATCCCGGCACCAGTCTCGGGTACGCAGTACACCTAAAAACCGCTGTTTTACTGGTCTTGAGCCGGTTGAGTGGATCTGAATTTGACAAATACATACCCTCAGCTCAAAGTCGTCCTTCCCGGGGTTAGCCGGCCCGAAACACGCCAGGTGAACACGTTTTCCGGGTGGCACGGATGCACGTCTCGCTCTGCCCACAAGCATAAACCTGCAACAACTTTTTAAAGGGGCAAGCAAGTCGCCGCAAACCTTCCAAAATGTTCGGTCATCAGATGGACATAGCCGACCCGATCAGCCGACGGTGCTTCCAGATGCACGTGGACGGGGCTATTCAGGTTCTCATCACCCACTCTGACCACCTAAATTAGAGGTTTTTAGGGTCTTTCGCGTTATCGGGAGGTGGTGGGGGCATATTTGCAAAGTTTTTGCACTTGCAAAACCATTTAGAGACTCGCTCGAAGTTCTATACCGTAACCAAGCCTACCGTACCTGTTTCCACCCAAAACCATCGTCAGCCCAGACCGAGAAGGTCCAGTTATCACGAGGGAATGTTGCTGCACAATGCCGGAACGACAGGACGGCAGGACGGAGAAGTGTTCGACTTTCCGGATCTCCCTCCCATTCCGCTTCTCCTACCGTCACGACCGGCGAAATGGCCACGTCGCCCACTGAAAGGTCGAATTTTTGGGCGAAAAAACCAGCTCTTTTTAAGAAAGCGATGAGATTTTAGAGCTGCACAAGAAGAACAAGACTACGAGGTACAACAACTAACATGGCAGCTTCGGCCGATCGCCCGGCTGTTCGCTGACCGCAATGTAGACCGTCTTCTGGGAGTCCACCGCATTTTCCGGCATCAGCAGACTCGCGCCGGATTTTCGGAGCTAAATTGAAGAAATTTATGAGTTCTTGTCTGGCTCAAGTTTTAATGTAATTCCGACGAACCTGCAGTCTCGCACCAGCCGTATCGATCTGCGCAACAAGTACAGACTGGGCGGATTGGATGGATTGGACGGAACGGTCTTCAAGGTAGTCGTACAACGTCGCGTAGTTCTCCTCGTCCGAGCAGTTCGAGCTGGTCCTGGACCGGGGCGTACTTTAAGAAAAATAAAAGTTACCTCAATATCGTTTTTCGGCCCCGTTCAGAGGAGGAATTCGATGAGCATTCGGTGATTAGGGCAGCGCGAGAGCCTAAAATGAGGTAAAATGCTGAGTAATAAGCCAGATTCTAAGCCTAAGCTTAGGCCCAAGCCCAAGCCTCAAAGCCTAAGCCTAAGCCTAAGCCTAAGCCTAAGCCTAAGCCTAAGCCTAAGCCTAAGCCTAAGCCTAAGCCTAAGCCTAAGCCTAAGCCTAAGCCTAAGCCTAAGCCTAAACCTAAGCCTAAGCCTAAGCCTAAGCCTAAGCCTAAGCCTAAGCCTAAGCCTAAGCCTAAGCCTAAGCCCAGGCCTAAGCCTAAGCCTAAGCCTAAGCCCAGGCCTAAGCCCAAGCCTGAGCATAAGTCAACCTAAAGCTTATGAAGCCCAGTTGGGCCTGATCCGACGCTTACCCGCATTCCTATTGGTGGTATATGCGCTATACGCACTTTTCGCGCTCTTCAGCGTCATTGATGGATGATGAGAGAATAGATCCGGTGCCTTCACGCAATCCCCTGGCCCCAGAAGAGCTGCTTGCTGTTGCTCGAGCAGTACACGACGCATATGGGCTGAAACCAGTTGTTGCCAAATGGAAAAACTTCGATGAAACCGCCTGGCTTTTGAATAAACATACTTCCAGCCTCAGCGTAGTAGATGTTACTGCTCGACTTCTTGACTCTTCTGCCCTTCTTGCAGACGAGCAGCCAGCAGATCACGAATAGAATGGCGGCGAGGAGGACGAAGATTGAGCCCATGCCGATGAGGATGGGGATGTCCTGGAAAACAAGCAATCGATATAGGAAGCCATTTACTCACATATCCAATAGCGGCACTCTGCGGGGGTCCCGCCGCGACGTGGCGTATTTTGGAGCCACAAGGAGTCGTGCAATTCTTGGCCTCCCATGCTGGTCCCGGGCAGTCGATGCCACCATTCAACGGGGGTGGCGCTGAACATTTTCGAGTTCGTCGCTGAAAGCAGGGTTTTTTTTGAGGGGATTCCGGGTGTTACCTGTGTACAATCTTCGCGGCATTCTCCCCAATCACTCCACCCCGTCCAGCGACCGTCGATTTGGCATGGGATGTCGCAGGCGGTGTACTCCTCGTCGAAACCCGAACATTGCGCGCCTAAAACCGGGTTTAAAGGGTAGGGAGTCCCAGCTGGACGGATAATTTTCAAAGGTGCCGGCAAGGCAGGACAATAGACCTTTCAAGTCTCTTTAAAGACAGTAGAAAAACGCGAAACTGCGAAACTTCCCCCACCTCCATTGAGCGGTGCCGGATTGTTGCATGCCCTCATCCGTCTCCTTCTCGGTATCAATCCATCTTCGCCCGAGTCGAGGGCAGCTTTTAGCAGGCCACAGTCCACCTGGCAGCTTCCTTCCCACTTCGACCACTCTGACCATCGACCATCCACTGAAATGATGGGGTTTTACAGCGTTTCGAAGCCTTTAAAAGCTACCGTATCCTTCCACACTTTCCCACCACCCCAAATTTCGAAACTTGCGAATTTCCGATCACCCTCCCTGTCCCTAGACACCCATCAATCGGGGGCCAACCCAGGGGCCCTCCCGATTGGGCCACTTAGTCACCAAAACAGCCCAAGTTCCTTATCTCTGTATATCTTCTGTCCCTCTCTCTATAGGATGCCCTGAGGGCATTGCGTAATGCTTTGTGTCCCTTTAGCTACCCATCGTTTGATGCCTCATTTGCATGGCTGGGGCCGGAATCAGGCACTGGGCCCCTGGGTCCCCGGGGGCCACTTCTGGGAGCCCTTTGAACTGCACATAATGGGGGAAGGGGACAGTCGGAGGCAACCGAAAGAATTGATTACGTATGAAAGTTAAGAATAAAGCGAAAGAGTGAGAGAGAGTGAGAAAGAGTGAGAGAAAAAGGGAGAGTATGATTTTTGGAGATCTTTGCGCCATTTTCGGGCTAATTCTGATCGTCATTTGGACTGTAACTTAGCTGAAGCGAAAGAGAAAGAGAGAGTGAGAGAGGCGGCACGATTTTTTGAAGAGCTTGATGCGATTTTCAAGCAGTTTCTAATCGTTCTAATCGCTTAACGTGGCTGCAGCGGGAGAGCACTGTCGATTCCTCCTCAAAACCTCCTTGAAATTTCGTTTCGTCCCCACTTTATGAATTTCCGAGGGAATACGCCCGACCCTCCCATCCCCCTTATCTCCATTTCCGATCTTTCAAAGTATCGTCGTGTAGGGCGCGCGCGTTCCGTAGCATGGGCCCCCCTTTCCAGAAATGGGGCTTAGGCGCTTATGGCCCACACTGACTCACCCCCCAACCAAGCGGAAATGGGGGTTGAAGCATCAAAGTTTTGATGTGTACTATAGTCGCACTCAAAGGAGACTAAAGTGATGATCCGGATTTGGCGCCTCCTGGAAAAAAAGTGTTTTTTGGGCCCCTAGGCTGCCTAAGACTAGGCTTAGGCTTAGCTTTGGTAGGCTTAGGCTCACACGTAAGCTTAAGCTTGCTGAAGCCTCAAAAACTTAGATATTCGGTTGATCCCCCGTTATGCAACAGCCGCTTGTTGTGTGTGTGGGTGGGTTGAGAAATGATGGGCCCCTTCAAACCCTCAACCATCCCCAATTCATTTGCATATTTTACAGCCCCCTCCTTGCGATCGGCCCGCAAATTGTGGGCCCACTATTGGGGCACAAAGACCGTGCCGACAAATTGCTGACTGGGGGAGGCAGAGAGAAAGCTAGACACTGTAACTACGCGAGGTGACAAATTATGGGCACGCGATTCCGGGGGGCTAAATGGTCGTGCGGATGTGTTGCGCCGCAGATGGGGTTTAACGCACTGAAAAGCGGAAAAAGACACCCATTGGCTTGAAAAGGTTTTGTTTGGCAGTCATTGGTGACGAGCAAAAAAGCGGCTGTAAATTAGTTTTGAATGTTTTAAGCGTAACTTTTAGCCGTCATTTGATGCAAGGCGTAGCTGTCAATACCTAGTCGGTGGGAGGGGTAGAATTTAGCCCTTTTGATTTTTTTAGAGTGAATAGATGGTTTTTTCTGTAGCGGATCCCCAAGGTATACATGCATTCATTTCTCTTGCACGCTCTCTTTCTCTCTCTCTCTCTCTCTCTCTCTCTCTCTCTTTCTCGCTCGAACAATACGGTACTCCCTCCCATATTATGTGAATACGATCCGATCCCCAGCACATGTCTCTCAATTATCCCCCCACCCCTAATATCCAGTCAATTAAAGGGACTGCTCGACTCGAATATTCCCCTTCCAGATGCCCCCAGAAATATGCATGTCTCTGTCTGTGCCCGGACCGTCTCCTCGAAGGGGCTGACAGCTTGACAGATATTTGCATTTTTGAGGCGGGGGGGCGGGGGCTGGCAGTCTGTCTGTCTGTCTGTGAGGCTGTCTATAGGAATGCCACGGAAGCTGAGGGTCAATTTGGTTAGATTGCTTGACAAAATACGTAAAATCTTTATCTATAACTTCATACTATCGCTCCCGCTCTCTCACTCTCTTCTCTCTCTCTCTCTCTCTCTCTCTCTCTCTCGCTCTCTCTCTCTCTCGATATCACTACCTGACTCGGTCTCTATCTTGCTCGAAATTGCTAGAAACTCAAACTTCACAAACCCTTTCAACAATCCTGCCCACCCCCAAGTCACCCCAAATTCCCCCCGAAAGCTGGATTTAGGGTGATGACGGTGTTGGGGGCCGTGAGTCGGAGTCAATTTGCACTATTGCCATCCCCTCCAATACCCCACCACCGGGGGAAGTATCAAATTCTGATGGAAGGCAGGGTGGGAAATGGGTGAGATCCGAGATCTGATCCTCCTCACTGTCAATAGGGCAGCTGTGGAAACACGTAGCAGCCTGAGAGAGTTTCAAGGTAATTTCCGGGGTCTGGGCGCTGAGGAAGGGATTTATTGGAGGGGTTAAAGGGGCGGGGAAGGCTAAGCATTGTCCGGTGAAAGCTAGACATGAATTTTAAGTATTTATAGCGGACCCCCGGGGTTGATCTGGCCGCTAGCCACTCGAGAAATCAGGGCTTCTTGAAGAGGCTATGGCTCCCCCCCCCTCTCTCTCTCTCTCTCTCTCTCTCTCCTAATAATCAAGACCAATTGGACTAACGAGGCACGGAGGGCCACATCGAGTCAATCCGAGCCATGGGCAAAGAAGGGCTACATGGGGACACGGGATAGAATGCAGAAAACAGGGCCAGATGCCCCCTAGCACACGACAATCCCATTCCCATTTCCTGTTATGACTGTGGCCATCGGTTGGATTGGTCCGAGATTTTTGGCCTGATTAAAGAGACTAAGAAGGCAGGATTTGGTATGGAGCAGGTTCGAAATTGATTTTGTGAGATCTTACGCGAAAATTCTACGTGAATTTAGAGTTTGACTTTGAAACTACCAAAACCGATGTGGGAGCAAAAAGTAAAAGCTTGCCACACTCGGGATTCGAACCCATGACTGATTTATTCTCTGACAAGAACACTACCACTCAGCTATAGAGTCGATGCTATTTAAATTATCAGGTTGGTAGATAAGTACTGTCACAATTTTTTGAAAGCGCTCTAGAAAGCCGCAGAAACGTCGGATTTTCACTTTCGATACATGATTTGATAGATCTTGGGACGCACTACTTGGGAAAAACCCGATTTGGTCCCCAAAGTGGGTCGCCGTCGAGTTACAGCTCCGGGAAGTTTTTGATAAAATCTTGAGAAAGCTATTTAGCGTGCTATCTCTACATATAGCCATTTGAATACGATACCATTAACGCCAATCGATAGCTCTCGAGGAGTAGATATCGATAGATGTTGAGATCATCAAAATCGGACAACGGATGGCCGAGATACGGGTCCTTCAAATTTGGTCCATTTCTTAGAACTTTTTCCGAATTCCCATACATTTAGACAAAACCTTCTCCGGGCGCTCAAAAACCAACTGGCAAAATTTGTCACAGATGCGTAAAATGTATGGGATTTCGGGAAAAGTTCTAAGAAATCGATCAAATTTGAAGGACCCGTATCTCGGCCATCCGGTGTCCAATTTTGATGATCTCAACATCTATCGATATCTACTCCTCGAGAGCTATCGATTGGTGTTAAAGGTATCGCATGCAAATTTCTCTATGCAGAGATATCACGCTAAAAAGCTTTTTCAAGATTTTATGAAAAACTTCCCGGTGCTGTAACTCGGCTTCCTGTAACTTTTCGGCCTCGTGCCGCAGCTCCCATTATAGAGCAGCCCAAGACCTATCAAATCAGGTATCAAACGTTAAAATCGGACATGTCTGCGGCTATATAGAGAGATTTAAAAAAATTGTGACAGGACTTATCTACCAACCTGATAGATTAAACTTCACAAAAATACGATGTTTTGTGGTAAGTCCCAAGAATTATGTGTCAACCCCTACCACACGTGTCAGCTACCCCAACACCCATCTGTCAGCCAATATGGGGGATGGTGCGCGATTTTTGGGCTCGCCTGATGGGCCCCAACGGTTGATCCGGTGGAATATAAACAGTCAACCCAAACAATGCATCTTTTTCTCATTCTCTCTTTCTCTCTGTCTTGTTGCTCCCTAAAACGTGCACCATCTGGATGACCTACCATATACGGTCAACTCGGCGGTGTCACTCGTGCGTTTCGTGGCAATATTTGAGGCTTCACAGGCGTAGGCGCCGGAATCGCCAAGACGAGCGGCCGAGAGGATGAGGCTACCGTCATTTCCTGAAAATCGAGTGTTTGTTGGATATTTTAGCCTAAGCCGAAACGTAAGCCTAAGCAGCTTTTCGACAATTTCTCCCAGAAAACGCTCGGCTTACCGTAGATGATATTCGGGTCGGCGCCTCGTTGAATCGGCTCCCCGTCTTTTAGCCAGACCACCTGAAAATATTAGCATAAATGTGTCTTTACTCTTTTGTCTGATAATTTTCTAGACTGAACTTTTCTAGCTTCCCCTAAAAATTTCGAGTTTCCGTTTCGCAACCCTTCCACCCACATCACAATGGAATCCCCGAGGTTTGACGGCATGAGAGAGAGGGAGAGGGCGCGAAAGAGTGACATGTTTCATAGCTCTCGAAATGTCCCCCGTTTGGCGCTTAAAGATAAATGAGGGTCCATGTCCCCTTCGGGTCATCTATCTATCTTCACAGCGTCCCCCTTATCGGCCGCTTCAATCTGCCGAATTCCGATTCATTCCTCAGGACAATTCATCTAGATGCCAGGAGTAGTGTCCCGGAATTTTGGGTCGTACTGGTTTCCCAGATTTTATCAAAAAAATTGTGCTATCGGCAAGGTGCCTGAGGCTATGTTTTTGGAGGTGATGTGTGTAGATTAAATCGGAAAACGAGAGGGATAATTAGAAAATGGTACCTGGGCCTTGGGTTCACTTTCTGGAGGTGAGCACTGGAGTTGTACGGTGGAACCCTCGTGGATACGGTCGGAATGGGGGGAGGTGGTGAAGTGTTTCCGCATATCTGAAAATGTGGGAGTTAGATCTTGATAGAGAGTGAGAGCGAGAGAGAGCGCGAGAAAGAGAGAGAGAGATCGAGAAAGACAGACACAGAGCGAGCTAGATTTAGGCATTAACCTAAAATTAGCCTGCTAAGATTTTTGGCTACCCAGCGGGCTGGCCCCGGTTGGGGGTGAAGCCACTTGAGATTGGACATGGGCCCCCACTCAACCCGGATCAAAGCCTCATCAAGAGACCCACAAAAAGGCCCC